CTTAGCGAGAATATAAACTGGATAAACAAACAATACGGTTGCTTAGTTCTAAGTTCATACAACCTAAGACATACAAACACTGTGCTAGTCAGTGTACTGCATTTAAAGGGCTGCAGGCAAAATAAGGTGTGGCCCACACAATGCTACTATGAGTGTGAGTAAATAGTTTCAAACAAGCACACCTGCGTGTGGTTTTGATTGTAAAACATAAAAAGGCTTGGATAAATATTTGCTTGAAACTTGAATGAGCAGATTTTTAGTATTTTGTGATGCACATTTGATTATCATTAGGTGTGTGCAATTTCTGATTCACATTTAACCAAGCCACGGGTGTTGCATTAGGAAGAGTATCTGGCATAAAATCTTTGCTATATTAAACATGAATTATCTAGAATGGCATGTCCATAGCAGATAGTTCAGGGCATGGGTTAACAATGGCTGCCCTCCAGTGCTGCTGGCCAAAAATGTCCTGGAGGAAACTGTGCTACTGCTCGCCAAAATAAAACAAAGAAGGGAAAGGTGGTTCAGAAGCAGTGAGACATGGACTTTGGAGGTGAGACTAGGGATTTTAAAAGTGGAGACTGTGAGAGCTGGTTGATATGAAGGAGAGAAGGAAGGTAGATATAATGTATGTGGATGAAACCAGGTTGAAGAGAAGTAAGGCCAGGAGCACCGGAGGTAGATTCACTCAGGTGATTAATGTACTGGCTCTTGTCCTTTTCTCTTCACAAATCACTTTATACAATCTGCCCAAGCACTTTTTAAAAATGTTTTTTCTAAGTAAGTGCTATCTATCCAACATTTACACACGTTCATAGTCCTATAGAGGTGGAATGTGAAGTAAAGAGGAGCCTGCAGATTGTTGTAGAGTCTTTACCTTACAAAAGAAAGACTCTTGAGGCAACTGTGGTAGTGATACGGCGAAATAGAAATAAAATCGAGGTCATTTAGATTATACCAGGGCCTGTGCTACTGGATGAGGACATCTCTTTAAATTAGGGAGAAAAACACGTCGGGGGAGAGGGTCCCCGGTTCTCCAGTTAGATTGTACTTCACAGCGTCATGTTCCGCGTTGGCTGGAGCCTCTGCTCGAAGCGTCTGCTCGAAGCGTCTCCTCTCGCCGCGAGCGGGTTCATATTGGAATGAATTGACAACCCACAGCGTCTCATAGAAACGTGGAAGGGTACCTTTACTGTCAGCAAGGGAAGCTAAGGGACGTGACAAATCGTCAGTATTATACGCATCGGGAGTGAGAACGGGTTGGATTTAGATACATGAAAGTAATTTTGTGCTGTCGCTTGCATTTATGTACTGTCGCATACATTAAGCCTAATTATTGCCTGAGACTGTTCTTGTTAAATGATGAAAAACTCAAAGGCACGTTTCAGCAGTGGATCTGTGTGAAATCAGCAACTTGCAAAAATAAATCAGAATGTGGGCTATTGATTCTAAAAGTGCAATTAAATCATCTCAGCAGCTTTACTCATGAAATTATTGCAGTTAGCTGAATTCATATATTGCATCTTTATATATATCTATATATCTATATCTATAGGCTGTGGATAGAGAGGAATCAGCAGAGACAGTGGTTGTTAATCTCTGTTGTAGAATCATTACCCTGTTTTATGTTGCATTATACTTCTTTTTTTTCCCCATATATTTTATTGAAATTTTCTGTTGCACAATACAAACAAATATTTGAACACCCTCACATTCACACACCCATCCCTACATCAAACCTGCCTACATCACATTCAAATGTAGAAATTGGCATTCACAGTAATACAAAAATACAAGGAATTAGGATAAACAAGATTCTCCCCTCCTTCCCTTCTTCTTTTCCTTCTTTTTCATAAACGTCCTTCACCTCCACTCCCTAAAATATCCATATATGGCTTCTACATATTCACAAAGTCCCAGTGTTTGCCTTTGGCAATATATGTTAGTCTTTCCAGAGTCCCATGGAGGGAGCATCCATACTCTTCCAACATAGTGGAATGGCTCTTCTGGCTTGAAGTAATCCATAGTCCAGTAATTTTTTTTT